GAGGGAGGGAGGGAAAAGAAAAAGAGAGGGAGAAGGAGAGGAGAGGGAGGGTGAGGGAGAAGGAGAGGAGAGAGAGGGAGAGAGGGAGGGAGGAGAGGGAGGATGGGAGAGAGGGGGGATAGAGTGTCAGAGGGAGGGAGGGAAAAGAAAAAGAGAGGGAGAAGGAGAGGAGAGAGAGGGAGACAGGGAGAGAGAGGGAGAGAGAGCAGAGAGAGAGGGAGAGAGGGAGAGAGGGAGGGAGGGAGAAGGAGAGGAGAGAGAGGGAGAGAGAGCAGAGAGAGAGGGAGAGAGGGAGGGAGGGAGAGGGAGAAGGAGAGGAGAGAGAGGGAGAGAGGGAGTGAGACGGAGAGAGTCAGAGGGAGGAAGAGAGAGAGAGAGAGAGAGAGAAAACATTGCAACACGGCTCCCAACACAGGAGAAACCAAGGCAAGTCACCCCAAGATGGCCGGACGGTACCCTTAGGGCAATCCGGCGACCATGAGGATTGTTTAGATGATCTCAAGTGCCTAACCGTGTCAGCTTGGCAACTGAACTCATCCTTGTGACCGTCGCTGTGTGTCCCAAGCTCAAGTGATCCCCTTTTTTGCGACCTTTGGACGAGCGAAGTCAATGGGGAAGCCAGATTCACTTAATGACCGTGAGACTAAGGGGTCAGCTGCGGGGATTCATTGAACGACTGTGGCGAGGACGATGGTAAAAATGGGGCAAAACTCGCTTCAGAAATGCCTCGCTTAACAACAAAAATGTGTGGGGATCGATTGCGAGGACCACCTGTACGCCTTGACCAACCCAATCAGTGTGAAATCTCTTTTTTTTCAGACCAGAAATGGTTGGAATGGAGTGAAAGGACCTCTAATCCTGTTGCCTTAGCAACCTGTAGGCCCGGAGTGGAAAAACTGTAGTCTGTGGACTTCAACTCCCAGAATTCCTGAGCCAGCTATGCTGGCTCAGGAATTCTGGGAATTGGAGTCCACCAGTTGTAAAGTTCCTATCATTGCCTTGGCAACCCGCAACGAAAGAAGAGGAACTCGTCAAATTTGCTGGTGATACTAAGCTGGCAGGAATAGCCAATACCCAAGAAGATAGGCTCAAGATCCAGATGGATCTTGAGAGACTCGAACCCTGGGCCCTATCTAACAAAATGAAATTCAATGTAGAGAAAAGTAAAGTCCTCCATTTAGGCAAGAAAAACCAAAAGTACCCACATAGACTGGGTGGAACCAGGTTCAATAGCAGGAACTGTGAGAGGGATCTTGGAGTCTTAGTGGACAACCAGCTAAATAGGAGCCAGCCGTGTGCAGCAGCAGCCAAAAAAGCCAATGCAATCCTAAGTTGCATTAACAGAGGGATACAATCGAGATCAAGGGAGGTACTAATACCACTTTATAAAGCCTTAGTAAGGCCACACCTAGAGTACTGCATCCAGTTTTGGTCACCACACTACAAAAAAGAGGTTGAGACTCCAGAAAAAGTGCAGAGAAGAGCAACCAGGATGATGAGGGGACTGGAGGCTAAAACATACGATGGACGGTTGCAGGAACTGGGCCTGGCTAGTCTAGGGAAGAGAAGGACCAGGGGAGACAGGAGAGAAGCCTTCCAATATTTGAGGGGCTGCCACGGAGAGGAGGAAGGGGTCAAGCTGTTTTCCAAAGCACCTGAAGGCCAGAGAAGGAATAATGGATGGAAACTGAACAAGGAGAGATTCAACCTGGAAATAAGGAGAAACTTTCTGACAGGGAGAACAACCAACCCATGGAACAGAAGTTGCCTTCAGAAGTTGTGGGAGCTTCATCCCTGGAGGCTTTCAAAAAGAGACTGGACTGCCCCCTGTCAGAAATGGTGAAGGGTCTCCTGCTTGGGCAGGGGGTTGGACTAGATGACCTACAAGTAAAAGTAAAAAAAAAAAAAAAAAGAACCTACAATATGGAGACCACAGGTTCACAGACAGTTTACAGATATCTGGGTTTAAGCCCCTGAGCCTCACCAAGGGGTCTATTAGCTGAGTAGGGACAATGGCTCTTCTCCCCCCCGCTTCTCTCCTCTTCTTAAACGGAAGTCTTTGCTTTAAGCCCTTGAAGCCTCCTAAAGTCCACTGAAACCCTACTGCATTTGCACCTCAAGCTGAGCCAAAAGGCTGGAACGGTTGGGATTGGCCTGGTGCCCAGTGCAAGCTTCATCACGTGCTGGGTTGGCACGCTGGGCGCAAATATAGAGAGCCAAATATAGCACCAAAGCAAGAGAAAGCAGAAGGACGAAAGGGCCCTTCAGTCAGGACGTCGCTTTCAGAACAACAGAAAAACAGAGTTGGAAGGGACCTTGGAGGTCTTCTAGTCCAACCCCTGTTCAAGTGGTTGTCCAGTAGTCTATGGAGATTCTCCATCCTCCAGGTCATGGTTGTCCCAAAGGTGCTTTTCTCAAGAGGCAACTGGACTTTCTGGTTTTTCTTTGAAGACGTTTCGCTTCTCATCCAAGAAGCTTCTTCGGCTCTGACTGGATGGAGGGGAACGGAAGGCTTGATGCTCCTTGCAGACAGCTGGTCATTTGCGTCTTTTTAGAGAGTTGTTGAGGCCATTGGGAGGTTTATCTGTGTCCTCGGAGTCACCTGAGTGTTGCAAATGGGTGCGGGATGTTTTCTGCAGATGTTGTCATGCAAATGAGTCTGGAGGAAGCTCCACGCTCGTTTGCACCACTCAGCTGACCCTGAGGACACAGATAAACCTCCAGGTGGCCTCAACGGCCCTCTAAAAGGATGCAAATGACCAGCTCTGTCCGCAAGGAGTATCAATCCTTCCATTCCCCACCACGCACTTAGAGCTGAAGAAGCTCCTTGGATGAGAAGTGAAACGCCTTCAAAGGAAAACCAGAAAATCCAGCTGCCTCTTGAAAAAAGCACCTTTGGGTAGCTGTCCAATCTTTTCTTTAAAACTTCCAGTATTGGAGCACCCAGAAATTCTGGTGGCAAGCAGTTCCACTGGTTAATTGTTCTAACTGTCGGGAAATTTCTCCTTAGTTCTAGGTTGCTTCTCTCCTTGATGAGTTTTCATCCCTTGTTTCTTGTCCTGCCTTCAGGTGTTTTGGAGAATAGCTTGACTCCCTTCTTCTTCTTTGGGGCAGCCCCTCAAATATTGGAATATTTCCTTCTGAATGGGGCGAGGAAGAGTCTGGCAGCCATCAAGGCCTCTATGTTGTCATCCCAACGTTGACCCAAAACTGCCTCCTTGTTGCAAGCAACGCAATGCCAATCCTTTCGATTGCCAATCCTTGCATTTCAAACAAGAAATTCAAACAAGAAAAGAATTGCTATTCATTTCCCTCGTGGCTCATTTCTTCATTAGTGCCAGCTGGGTTCCTAGAATCCCAAAGTTGTGAAGGGCATGGGAGGGCATCTAGTCCATCCTCTGCCCAAGTCAGGAAGCCTCAAATCTGCCCTGACCAATGGCTGCCCAACCTTTGTGTGAAAACTTCCAGTGATGGAGCTCCCATATCTCCGGGGAGTGGCGGGAGGGGAGGCTGCTTCACAGCTTCAGAAATTACAGAATAACAAGAGTTGGAAGGGACCTTGGAGGTCTTCTAGTCCACCCTGGGTGAACTGCATCTGTTGTTGAACACAAGGTAAGCCCAAATCCCCCAAAAAGAGAAGATATATATGCATCCTCTCCAGCAACCAACACCCAGATAAGCAGGGATTAACACCAGACAGACAATCTTCTAGCAGAAAACAATTCCCTAATCAAGGTATCACCAAGTAGAGAACCATATCTCCACCAACGTTGCCAGGACAGGCTATTGCACATAAACAGACTCCCCAGCACTGATGAAGTTACCTACTTGGGTAATGAAACGTCTGCCACAATACAACCACAGTCAGGGAGCACCTAATCTCCCTCCTCCTCTCTGCACACCCCACTCCGTTCTAGCACAGATGATGTTACCTAGTTGGGTCATGAAATGTCTGCAAGCAAACCCAGCTCAGAGAGCACCAAGGACCCCACAGTCGTCGTCCTCCTCCTCCTCCTCTTCCTCCTCCTCCTCCTCCCAAACCTCACTCCCTTGTAGCACTGATATTACCTAGTTTGGTATAACACTGATGGCGTTATCTGGTTGGGTCATGAAATGTCTCCAGACAAAAAACTAAGCTCAGAGAGCACCAAGGACCCCACAGCAGTCCTCTCTTCCTCCTCGTCCTCCTCCTTCTCCTACACTTTGGACACCCCACTCCCTTCTAGCACTGATGATGTTACCTAGTTGGGTCATAAAATGTCTGCAAGCAAAAAACCCAGCTCTGAGAGCACCAAGGACTCCCCAGTCCTCCTCCTCCTCCTCCTCCTCCTCCTCTCCTCCTCCTCCTCCTCCTCGATGCAAATTTCACTCCCTTCCAGCACTGATGATGTTACTTAGTTGGTCATGAAATGTCTGTAAGAAAACCACTAAGCTCAAGGACTCCACAGCCCTCCCTCCATTCCTCTTCCTCCTCCTCTTCCTCTCTGGAAACCTCACTCCCTTATCACACTGACGATGTTACCTAGTTGGGTTGTGAAATGTCTGCAAGCTAAAAATCAATCTCCGTAAGCGCCCAGGAAACTATATATTGATTTACTGCCATAT